TTGTCACTCCGCGCTGCTCCGCGCCCGCCTGAGCCTGCCTAGGGGAGCGATCTCAAAACGAGGGGGGTGCGAGGATGCGATTGGAGAATATGTAACTAATAGAAGTATCATTTTCTCCCAGTACGATCTTTCAAGGAAAAAAAAAATCCATTGAAAGAATTTTCAAAGTGCTGTCTTCGTTTGGAGAAGAGGCACCGGCTGCCTGCGGGGAGGGGAGGAGGGATTCGGCTGCGTGCCGCCCGGGAGCGGCTCCCGTCCGCTAGGTGGCAGCCGGAGCCAGCGATTCCTGCGAGCCCCGCGGCGGGACCCGCTCCTCCCGCCTGCCCCTCCTCCCGCGACCAATCACCTTCGGGAATCGGGGTCTCTCTCAATCTCTCCCCCCTCCCCCTCTCTCCCTCTCTCTTCTCATTCTCCTCTCTCGCCTCTCTCTTCTCTCTCCCTCCTCCCCACTTCCCCCCTCTCCATCTTCTCGTTTGTTTGCTCTTTTCCTGGGACTGACTTGGCCACACTGATCGACCGCCCACCCCCCCCCCCCGCGGGCGCAACAATCTGAGGACTTGCTACGGTTTTGTTATTAATAATTATTGAAGCATTGTTTGGAGTTGGGAACGGTCAGGTAATAAAAACAAAAAGATTAAGAAGGAGGCGGAGGAAAAATCTGATTGATCGGAAAGTTTATTTTTAAAAACATCTTTGGGATGAATAGGAACCATTGATTCGGATCGAATTTGTGGCAATAGCTGCAAATTCCAGGAGTGTGTTTTGTCGTCCTTAAACCTTGAAAGCAAAGATGTACTTTGGATCAGAAAATAGGAAGACCCTACCTTATTTCTTAAAAGGATATAAAATGAGCAGAATCCACACTTGGATTATGCTTCTATGTGAAAGAAGCAAACAATCCAAACCCAGTATATTTCACGAATTATTAAAAACGGTGGGGGTTTCATTCCCATTAAATTTTTTCCCCAAACATTTTCAATGACACTCTCTTCACGCTCATGAGCTCTAATTTTTAAAACTTTTCCGAAGAAATCAAAATAAATTCCTTCTGATTCTCTTCTTCCCCATCGCCAGGCATTCTCCCTTTCGCCGTCCCCTCCCCCTCTGGAGTGAGTGTGTGTGCGTGTGCGTGTGCGTGTGCGTGTGTGTGTGTGTGTGTGTGTGTGTGTGACCATAGACGACCCATACTAATCAGGTCTCAGAGTAAATAGCAGCGCAGGGCGATCTCAATGTAAATTGCGCTTGTCAGAAACACACCCCTCTCCCTCACTTTCTCTCCTCCTCCCCACGCCATCCCAGTCTGTAGGTAGCTAAGAGGGAGGGGAAAAAAAGAAAGAAAGAAAAAGAGGAGGGGGGAGGGGCTCTCCAACCAATGGCGTGCGGGAGGCTTGGCTAACCTTAGCCTCCCATTTTCTCTCCCCCCGATTCAGGGCTCTGACCAGTCAGTCGCCTTTGATTATCAGTTGCCAGCAGCCCTTCTCTTGGCTCCTTGACACGAGCTCCATATAAGGCAGCGATCTCCATAGAAACGTGTCAGTTTCAATAGTAGTGTCAAAGTTCACTATATACAGACATTCGCGCAGATCCCCCTTTCGGAAACATTGCTCTGCGAGTCCTCCCGTTTAAACGCATTCAATTTTGGGGTCGGTCTCTCTCTCTCTCTCTCTCTCTCTCTCTCTCTCTCTCTCTCTCTCCCCTCTCTCCTCTCTCTCCTCTTTCTCCCCCCTCTCCCTCCTCTTTTCTCTCTTCTCTCTCTCCTCTCTCTCGCCCTCTCTTCTCTCTACCTCTCTTCTCTCTCCCCTTTCTCTTTTCTTACATATTCCACTAGTTGTTCCCCCCCTTCTTCATCTCCTTTCTCTCCCTTTTCTCCCTCCTCCTTGTCTCTTTTACTCCATTCCTGCAGAAGAGAGAGGGCTAAACTTAAAGAAAAAAAAGGAGAAGGAGGAGGAGGAGGAGGAGGCACCCCCTTCGTATTCTTCTTATCGTTATTTTATACATATATGATTTTTTTTGGAGGGAGGGTGTTGGTTCCCGGCTGAAGAGCACTTATTTAAAATACTAAAAAAAGAACATTTTTGGGCGATCTCCAGGGTTTTTTTAACTAGCTCTGTGTGTTATAGCAGAAGAAGCAGAAGAAGGAGCAAGAAAGAGGAAAAGAAGAGGATTATTTATTCGACCTACTTTGGATGTCTCTCTCGCTTTTTCTTTTTCCTGTTTTTGGCAATTATTTTCTTCTGACTTTTATTTTTTCTATTTCGCTGTGAATTCGTCGCCGGCGTGAATTATCCCGCATTTTTCTCCCCCTTCCGTCACCTCCCGAAGGAAGAAGGCAGCGAGAGCCCGGCGCCACCGGCACAACAAAAAGAGCAAAGTGTGTGATCTTCCTCGCCGGCTGCCTCCCGCTCTCCGGCGCTGCCTTCCTGAATGGCTGGCCGCGTCCGGCCCTGGACCTGGCCCCCCGACACCCGCGCGCCCTGATCGCC